ATAGCGTTGCTAAAACACAACTGACGCAACAATGCTTAAGTCCTTTTGGAATTTATGACTCTACACATAGAAAAATACGTTGTTTCTAGCTAAGTGCGCTTTAGAGTTTCCCACAATAGTTCTCAGACCGTAACAGTACAATTATCAGCCTTGATAAGCAACCTGTTTATTAAGGATTTAAGCTTTCTTGACGAAAGCTTTTTTAACACTTTTCTAACAACTAAAAGTGGCAATTTTGAGGCCCTTTGGAATCTTGATGATTTTTTCACGAAACGCAGTCGCACGATTCTTATGTACGCGCAGTTGTGATCTCAGTTATAACATAAGGGTATCGCACGTTACGTGTTAGACTGGTTTGATGATCCTGAGACATCGAGAAAAAATGTCTTGCGTTGGAACACAAAGGGCAATGCTGTAACATATACTGATACGCTTTTAGAATAAGAACTCTTCCATTCATAGGTGTACAGCCAGGCGGTGATCGTTAGACAACATCCAGAGTTGCTCTGTGTTTAACTGCTACGACAAATGCACTGGACAGTGTGATTTTTCACTAGCGTTATGTTAGCTGAAAGCCGGGAGTTCACGAGGACTGCTAAATCAAATTACGGCTGGTGCGCACCGAATTAGATCGTCGATTGCCACCTCGGTTCTCTCTTGGCAAAATATTTTTAAAATAAAAATGTTTCATCATCCGTTTCAGTGGACATTCGGGATGCCGAAAACGCTTAGAAACATTACCGCGCACACATGAGTAACTTCTCCGCTCTCCATGCAAGAATAATACTTGGCAGTCATTTGTCCGGCTTCATCACATTTGGAAGCTGTGTATGCTCTTTGGATTTGATGCACAGCATAAGGAAAAAATCTTCGTGCCGTTGGATATTGCTAGAGATGTAGAAGCCTTCGTTGTTTTTCCATAGTATTGTATAATTGTATAATAGACACGTTAACTGCACGTTAGATCAGGATGGCGGCACTCTGGAATATCTGCTAAGTGGATGAATGTCTAGATTATAAACAGAGAAAGAAATACCGCTGGAATGCATTCCATATAATAAAAAAATAAATAAGTGTTTGTAATAATATACCATTCACAAGCACGATACGCGCCAATGAATGTACCTAGAGGCACTTCTATTGGCCCATGTAGACAGAAGACGTAAAGTATCATTGTTGGAAGTACACAATACCTACAGTATTGAACGAAAAAATGGCCGCTCTGCTAGAATAACGTCTAGAGACCTTTGTCACTTTTTCGTTTCCTTTTCCATAGTTCCCTCTGACTCACACGTTTTCGCTCTTTTCCTCTTTACACCTGATCAACTACAGCGATCAATGATCGCTGTCCCATCATCCAGTCCTATGGACTTCTACGATTGAACCGAGCACAGCTCTAAAATGATCAGAAAGGTTTTTGTCTTTACTAATGTGTAAACAAACACCACACACAAGAATTACGCCTGATTTGGGACGTTCATGGTACACTCTTACCTCTTTGATCTTTGCCGCAAGAACGTGTCACATATCAACCGGTTGACGTTTCCTCAGAGAGCTCATAATCATTAAAGTATACTACATGTTGCATGTTATTTATTTATTTGCATTACCCTGGTATTGTAACATATGCCCTTGTATATTGTGAAATTGCTCAGTTACGTCGTATTTGTTACGACATTCATTCTAACTAAAAGGTTTAGAAGAAATCTTGCAGTGTAACAAGAGAGGTAAGGTTTGGTGTCAGTTAGCTGATTTTAAAAACGAATTTGAGTCGATCATCGCCGGGACCAGTATCAAGCGGTAATTTTGACTACAAAACTAATATAGATCAATTTTTTTCTATACTTAGATTTTACACAGTGATAAAAAATATTTTCAGCTACGGGTAAAATATATTATTTCAATTTCGACGATAATGTCAGTTTTGCTGCTCGGAGATTTATATATACATACATATATATTCTTCTTATTTATCTTACTTATTAAATCTTACTTATTAAATCAATGAATTAGACGACTGCTTCAATCGCGAAGCCTATTAAAAGTCGATTGAAACCAACCTCGACACATGTGTTTGCCTCAGAAGTTGGCTGGACCGACTTTGTTCACCCGAGTTGCTGAAAGAGAGTCAATCAGTCAACACTGAAAAATTACGTACTCATATTATACAATGCACCAAAAAGCGATATTTAACGCGAGATTAGAGCTGGCTGAGCTCTCTGGCGTACACACTAGAACAAACTTGACAAAATGACTGCTGAGGGGTAGTGGGTTAGGTAATAGGTGGTAATTGCAACGATTCAAATGTTGTTGTGTACTCGTTTTATAGTTTTTTTTAATCTAAGTGATTGAATCAGATTATATAAACTAATTCACGACGGATTCATCCAGTTTACTACTAAAAGTTTATGCTTCCAGACTAATTAATATGTTCAAATCGACCCCGTAAATCCGTCAGATTGGGCAGATTCTTAGGAAGCCGCTAGAGTTTTAGTCTGGGGAAAACTATGCATAATATGATGTTAATTGAATAAATATTTTTTCGGAGTGGAGTTTTTCCCGTAAAGAGTAAGATGATTATTTTTAGCAATTTACTTGACAGCCCTTAAGAGTGAAAAGATCAAAAACGACTAAATTAAAGTTGACTGTCGGAAACATTATTGCATGGGCCATTCGTTGTAGCACTATCTTACGATTTAGTGGTAGAATGGTGATTTTTGCTTTAATAGTTGGGAATCAATGAACTATGATTCACCTTTGTTAAAATTTTTCAAATGAATAAATGTGAAGATAGTATCTTTTTCTCATAGTGGGTAATTCGGGTAAGCTGATCGCATTCAAAGATTCATTTGACAATCGCTGCGAATTTCTCAAAGGTTTATATCCGACAGTTATTTGCCTTTATTGAGTCTACAAAGTGGGCACAATGCGATTTTTCACACGTTGCTGTTTAGTCGCAGAATGGTGATTTTTGCTGATATTCTTGGAACGTGTTAAATGCTAGAACAGGACGATGGTAACCGATTAACGGCAATGGATATACGGGATACTTGACACATAATAATCGATTATTGAAATATTTTAACATGATAATGGAATCACTGTAAATTGTAACGGACGTTCTATAATTTAGACTGCCAGTCATTAGAACAGGGTAATGAAATAACTGCACCGGCTAACAGAGTTTCTGAAGAAAAATAATAGATTGACTGAAGTATAAAAATGAATCACTGTAATGGCATAACTGTAATTGTATAACGAAGCTGGTGCTGCAGGATTTAAAGATAATTTTAACCGGATAACCGTTAAGGTATAGAAATTGAACTGAGACAACAGCGATACAAATGAGTTAAATCAAGGACAAAACAGGTGCGGGGCGAAGGCTGCAGGTCTATCGAGTATTAAGCTAGAAGGTGAAACAAAAGAATTTTCTTTATAACCTTTATATTTTCTTCGTAAAGTGCGTGGTTGACACGCGGATTCATGAAACAAGGAATGGAAGCGATACCGAATATAAAATCTACATATTAGATCACTTTCCGACACGGTCGTCCCAATCTAAATAACTCTTAACGAATTCGCTCGCAGGCGCAGTTGAATTAACTAATTAAGCATCGTGATTCAGATCAGAATAAAATATTTTCACTTCGCCGGCCTAGGAAATAAAAAAAAACTCACCCTCTTCTCTTACTGCACACTTTCGCGTAAAGTAATCCATCTAGCTCTAATATGTTTAGTCAGTCATCGACCAACATCGATCGACATTTGGCAAATAATTTATTCTTCTGTGACTCGATCTAAAACATTGTTAAAAGCTCAAGTTACCGGAGCAGTAAATCGATATAATCTCCACATGCAAAAATATATGTCAGTCACTGATCTGTTTAACTTAATAACAAAAGAACTGCAGGAAATGAGCACTGTCAAGATGAGCAAAAATTTTCCTTTAGTCATTAATAGCTGCATCGCATCATTTATAGTATAAAGGAAACCCTGTTTTGGAATATAAGGATTGCTAAGTGGTACAAACTCTTAATGTATAACCATCTTCAACGTAAAAATCTGAGTATTATAAATATAGGCTTCGTGTAAAAAGTCTAACAATTTTTGCAAATCTATATGTAAATCTTATAAGAACTTCTTATAAGAGGTTCAGCATTACACGTAAACCATCATTAAATTGTTGTTCGTTTTATTAAGAAATAGAGAACCCAATATGAAAATTGCACCAAAAACGTACCAAAAAGTATCCACGGTCTTTCTGCCATGTTACTCAGATCATGAATATGTTATAACTATTTAATGATTGTAAAAATGTAATGTTAAAAAATTTAGTAGAGTTAAAATTGTAAGGTGTGCGTGACAGCCATGGACGTATGCTAGAACGTGACACCGTGTATTTTTTCTTTTAGTTTCTCCAGTTAGGAATTCAGGGTCGACCTGCTTTGTTGCCAATTAGGCCATAGAGTGTTTGCCCACAAATCAGAACAAGTTTATCAAACTACCCGGGACGTACAATCCTGCCTTCTATTCTCCGTCGGCGATGGGGCCAGAAGTACAGACTCCTTACACTATCTGAAATATTTCTGGGTGCCGACATAACTTAAAACACACCAATATAGTCCATTGAAAGCTGCAGACGTCTTACAAATAGGCTTCCTTGATGTCCGAGGCCGGCTTATCTCAATGAATTATGGAAAAAAAAAGCCTGAGTGTGCTTATTTAAGTAACCTACAGGTCCTAAATGTTAGAATAATTTGCACTGACGTACACTCTAGAAATGTTATTGTATATTGTTAATCTATAAAGGCTTTTTTTTCAGTAGATATTCATTTGGCTAAGTTTCGCGATGTCAAAATAGGAAAGCATGATTAGAGAATATCGAAAAAGATATGTTATATATTGAACTTTCATATTAAACTCTTTTGTTCAGAATTGGTGTTTTGCTTATACTGATTAATCTGATGCTGCCTTGTCACATTCCGGCATACTATTAGTTAAATGAAAACAGAATTAGTTTGCCTTTTTTGTATAAATACATCATTTGCAGTGGTTGTCGTCTGTCAACCCCTACATTTTCTCATATTTTATTGTAGCTTGCTTCTCGCATTCTCTTTATATCAACAAGTTTCTCTCACCCATACTTTTCTCACCCTTCTGGCTACTACTATATCATTATCGCATCTCCAATTTTTCCATATCTTCCTTATAGTCCTTTTTCTGTTTATTGTATCATTTTTTCATGCTTTGTGTTATCATTTTATCATTTGCTTCTGTCACACTTCGTTCCCGCGGAAGGGCGGCCAACAAGTTGTCTTTCGCGCCAGTTCTGACTACTTTTTGCTGGTCACCGATTGTCTCTCCTCCGTCATACATTAGTTTTGTGTTCGTCCTTCTGTGTAAACGCATGCGTAAACGTATTTCAATTTTAACCTATCCTCGTGCTTATTTCATCCTAATACGATGGTCCCTGCAACGAACTCGAGATAGCATTTATCTGAGACACCCTGACACCGCTATTCGCACTAGACCCCCTTATTTTCTAGCCTCAGACATGAAAATAATCGTTTTGATATAGAATAGAAGGTGAAAAAGACTTGTAGTCAGTCGTTCGTTCACTCAGTGAGGCCTCGAATTTTCGTTTCAGGACCCTTACTTTCTCCTAGAAATTTTCATTCTATACTTCCACAGACTTATGCCTACCATGTGGTTATCTAGTATCGTTCCAGTTACCGGTTTCCTCTCAGAGTTAAAGACCGCACACGTCGTTGTTGGCTAACTTTTCTGCTGGTTCCTGCTTGTCGCGCTGCGTCAGCTGTATCAACTTGAAATCAGACATCTTTAGAGAGTTCACTTCACCCCTTGTAAGTCGCACGTCCGAATAATATGCGAAAGGATTATGCTGGCATGATTAACGTTGTCTAGAAGAAGCGATAAGATGGATCTACTCACTGCGTACTCGCAGTTTCACCATCGACTGCAAACTTGAAGCACTTATCCAGTCTTCTGTGGTATCGGCCCAGTGAATTGTTACTAACCATTCTATAGTCTCTACCGTAACCGTTATCTGTCAACTGTCACGAAATCATGGAAAATAGTTTCCCGGTGGTGTTACTTTAGATCTGCATCAGAGGATTTGCTTTAAAGGTTAATATCTAATTTTCATTTTATAATTGTCGTTATTGTCTACACGGCATGTTTGCTTCATGTACTTAGAAAATATACTTCATTTCTCTCTTTTGCTAATTTTAAAGCGTCTTAAAGTACGCTTTATTTTCAACACCATTGTCGGCATTTAGTCACCATCGTCGCTAATTTCGATAGTAATAGTAATAGTCGACGTTTCATAAATATAGCTGTATTAATATCCGCCTCATTCCAGTTACTCTCCGCACTACCCACTGCTGCTTAACATGTTTTCGGTTATAGTTCTCTTGATGCAATACCTATATGTGCAGTTTCCGCTCACTTATCAGCATACTCCTAGCTGTCCACTGGCTTTATTACACTTGACTCGTATTCCCTATAATTTTTTTTACTGTGTTGTACCATATATGGTATTGATACATATCTGTTACTTACGTTTATATATATTTACTACAGTGTACACTCTTGATAATTCCAAAATGCCACCCGCTTTTTATAGTTTGCTTGTTCGTCGAGCTGTCAAGCTGATTTTCGCGCATAGAAACTGCATGGTGAGTTGTTGTCAGCATTGTATTGTTGTTCTTCAACGTTCGATTGTTTTGCTCCATCCATACCTAGGTATGTCTGCGTTCGTCTAAAAACCTCTCCTCCTGAATTTTGGACTACTTAACCTCGCCCCGTATGAAGGTATCACATCGTGGATCTAACGTCACTACAACGACACAGCTAGAAGTGACTCGGGCGAAATCACTTCTCCTGCTTCGTCGCTCATGTTATTGTTGTTATCTCTGCGTTTCTAGGACTGTTTTTGTTACTGCTGTGTTGTTGAGCGTATAGCCGATAGCACTTTCGCGTGCAAATCATATACCAACTTGAACTTACCCATTTGGGGCTTATTTGATCGTCACTTGATATTTTTCCCTTATATTTCCCTTAATATTTTCACCTTCTCGAATACAATCAACGTAGTTCACTACATGTCACCTTCGCTCGCAATAGTACTGTTCCATTGTCAGTAATATTGATACAGCATTGTCAATGTGGCAATTAACTTTCACATTCCATCAACTTCACTTACTCTTATCCCATTATGCATCGTATTTTCAAGCTACTATCGAACTAACTATATCGCTCAACATCATTATTTCTAACAAAATTCTTTTTTTTCTCAAATAACAAACACCATTTCTGATCATAGATGCGTAGCCCATTGTTCGGCGACAGAGTAGCATTTTAGATCATCTATATTACTGTGTTATGCATAATAATAATAATAGTAATTATATTTCATATATAATGGTCATCATCATTACGATATTCAAGCGGTAAGGTGGCACGCACAGCATGCTCCGGACGTCTATTATGGCCATACCATACCGCACCAAGCAAGCCATCAATTAATCGATGTTCCTTTAAACAACATTCTCATGAAGCGGGTTTTCTCATTTTGTAAGCCTTCTTGCACTCCGCTGGATCTATTGACACTTCTTTCGTTTTCCTCTTATGCTCGGGTATTGATGTTGTCGCTGACATCCACGAGAGACAAAATCAACCTTATACTTCTACTACCATCGATCAAACAGATTCTATTGGCGACTTGTAAATTCTATCATACTATTACGATTAGCAGTGTTCCTTGTATGCTCTGAAATCCTCGTCGCTACAAAACATCTACGCACAACCGCGCGTTAACTTCATCATAAACTTGATATTATATCGCATCGAGCAGTGTATTTCGAAAAGAACATTGACTAATTATTAGCAATGCATTTCCACAAGTTATCCTATGCATAATTATGACTTACGAAACTGCTGCAGTTTTCGAATGTTATACTCTGGTAGCAATGCGTTTTTCTTACGAATCAAGTACGAACCTGAATCGAGTACGTTACTCTTAGGCACACATGTTATTTTCCTTCCGTCCTATCTTGATCCCTGCCAAGGGGCTCTCCAATAGCAACATGCGCAAGATCCCTGCACTATCGATGTATTTATGTGTCGACCTGTCCAGGAGGGCAGCGACTCGTGCTTGAGCGGTGACTACTCTCAATGTCAGGAATAATCTAGTCGTTGATCCATAAACGACTTGGTTGGTATATTGCATTGCGTTTTATCTGTTTGTTAATAGTTACCATCGATCGGTGGTGTGCATGCAATCCGGAAATTCCCGGGAACGACCACATTATTTGTTTCTAGCAACTTAACTATAGTGAACAAGCTTTCTATCGTTATTTCAGAATGAAAGGACGCGTAAGCAGCGTCAGATCCAAAATCGTTGTTTTGTGCTGTTCAAAGTATTAATGAAAAATGATCAAGATCGACTTTTTATATACACGGACTACGTTTACTTTCTTCCTCTGGCTTGAATTCCTTATTGTCACCGTCCGTCAGCAACGTAAAACATACAAGAAGAACGAATCGAACAAATCCGTTGTTATGACCACGTCATAGAGATAGCGTGCGCCAAACCAGCACTCCGAAAAAAACTTCCCTATATGTTTGCACATTTCCGCACCGGCATCCCCTACCGAAGTATTATTTTGAACCGTAAGAAGCTGCCCCCTTTTTATATTATTGTTATGTTTTGTTTATCAGTCTTCAACATTTTTCGAGTCATTGTCTCATCACCTGTTGATCGTTCCATATTGTCTGTTACATCTCCTATTTATCTCGTACTCTTTGATTGCTTGTTCTCATCGTGCTCTCAGTCTCTTTATCGCTGCGTAGCTTTCACAAACTGTCTGGCCGTTTTATGAAACTAGAACGTTGTTCTTCTTCTAGCATCGTGTCGTAGCATCTTGTAACCTTACCCGTTTAGCCCCACTCACACAGCACCAACCTTACGAATCCTCCCCTATCCTTCTCGCTCCCAATACTACAGACAAAAGCCGCCCTTTAACTCTAATCGAACTCCATATATCATCTTACATTTCTCGAAGGGTAGTATGCTTCCGTTGAGAATAAACTAAGGTTAAAGAAGCTAACTACACCATCGACCTCACTTTACCCTTATTGTATATGACAGATTCATAGCCTTTGTTGCCTCCACCGCGGCTTCGTCATGTTCCCACTTGAATCATTGTAGATGTCATTGCGGCCATCCCTGATTGATCCACCTGTCGACGTTGGTGATGGGCGATGGGACGTTCTTATGATACGCTCTTAAGCGGACCGAGAAGGGTGTTTACTGACGACAGCTTTACTGAGTAGGATACTGCTGCTGGGGTGGATACGGGGGCATGGGCATTGGGCCTGCGCCGGATGGGCCTCCCTGCGGCATTCCCATCATCGGATATTGCTGATAGTATTGGCCATACGGCGCTGCTGGCGAATACATCTGGTTCATGTAATCGCCGCCCATCTGATTCATCTGGGGATGATATCCCCCGTCGACGCGTCCATAACCCGTATACCAATAGTTCATCTGGTAGGGATCACCGTAAGGATAATGTTGTTGCGGTGGCTGTTCCTGCTCTTTTCCCCAGCTACATTTAACTGGTTGACCACCTAGGTCCTGGTTGTGTCGAGCGACGATAGCCCGGCACGCTGACTCCTTCGCACCAAACTTCACGAACGCGTAACCTTTCTCTTTGAACACACGAATGTCAATGATTTCTCCGAACTCCTCAAATGCTTGACGAAGAGCGTCTTCCGAAGATGCAGCCGGTCCTAAGCCACCGCAATAAACGGTACAGTTAGTTGGCGATGACTGATTATAGACTTCGTCATAACTCAGATTTTTGTGATGACCACCATGGCCGCCGTGTGCGAGAGTTTCATCTTTCTGCATAGGCTTACGAGTAGCCCAGTTTGTGCGAATCGCGCGACTGCCTAACCACGAACCATTCATCATTTGAATTGCGTTTTCGGCATCTTCTTTGTTCATAAACGAAACAAAACCGTAGCCTTTCGACTTTTGTGTGGCCGAATCCTTGACAACACGACAATCGGAGATTTCACCGAAGGGCGCGAATGCCTCACGAAGTTCATGCGTCTCTACCTGTGGCGAGAGATCACCGACGAAGATGTGATGGTGTTTGGATGTGTCCTGTCGATGATGTGCCTGGTTGTGCTGGACCGCGGAAGAAGCCCAGTTGACGCGTAGCTCCTTGCCGAGACACATTCTCTGGTTCATGGCAGTCAGTGCAGCGCTTGCGTCCGTATGATTGACGAATTCGACGAAAGCGTACGGATCGCCACCGGACTCTGTGATAATCTTACAGCCTTGAATAGGGCCGATTTGACCAAACAGTGCTGCCACGAGCTCATCCGTGACGCCCGATTCGAGGTTGCCGACGTACAGCGTGCGCGGCTGGTCCACGTCGGCCGCTCCGCCTGCTTGCGACATCTCTTTTCCCGGCTCAGTAGACAATTTCTGGCAGGAAAAGATAACGAACGGACTTCTACCCAACAGCGACAGCACGTAAATAAACTGTCACTACACCGTTGGGCTACTTCTCAGAGTTGCAACGAAGAGTGAGACTCGCCAATATTTTGGGTTGGCAGCTTGCAATCCGATTTACTCGCTGGTTCGTGTCTTTCAGTGAGTATGTCACCGAAGAACACGCAAACAGCCACCAATGATAGGCTCTAGGAAGTAACCGGCCACTCTAAGTCACGCACTTCCACGTTCACAACAATGGTGTACACGCTGATAAACAAGCGAACCAAGAGGTAGATGGCAGTTGGTAAATAAAGTAGTACCAACGTTTCCTGCATAAACAATGATATGCTGTCGGTTTCGGTAGAAAGCGAGCTGGTAAAAATTAACCAGCTTTGTTTTCTGTCCAGCTGGCGATGGTGCGATGCAGTAAGCTCAAGAACCGCCGAATGGTACAAAAGAGCACTATGAAGTGCGTTGTCGAAGTTTATAGTAGTCGTTAGTCGTTGTAGCTGCTGCTGTAGCGTTATGTCAGTCGTCGTTGTTGTTGTTCCCGTTGATGTTATCGACTGTTGTTGGCCACTGAGTCCTCCAGTCAATGTTTAATAATCGTCAGCGGTCATAGTAGCAAAACACTGGAAGTAGGTATGTATAATAGCCAGGCAGTCACAACATGGTACGGGGTAACAGCAGCAGCAGCAGCAGCAGCGGCGGCGGCGGCGGCGGCAGCAGCAGCAGCAGCAGCAGCAGCAACCGCTCTGCTCTGTAGTAATAGTAGCAGCAACAGCGGGGAATTGATACGGCGACGACAAGCACGACCACAGCCGGACGCCACCGCTAGACGAAGGGCCACGACACAACTTTTACGGAAACGAGACGCACACACATACAGGAGCGAGAAGAGAAACGCTTCCAATAGCAGCAGCAATAACAACAGCAGCAGCAATCGTCGTCGTCACAATCGCACTCACTGATTTCTTTAATAGGCTGAGCAATCGACATACAGGCACACGCACGCACTCATGCACGCCCGCACAGTGCCGCTTGCTTCAGCACTTGTTGGTTAGCTGCCGGCAGCTGCACGTGAAGTTGTATGTGAAGGAATAGGAACGTACGCGGGAGGGGGCTGGACAGGGCAAACACTCACGCTATAGGCACAGGTAGGTGGAAGTCGTCGGTTAGTCGTAGGTACTCGTAAGCCGGTTATTCCTATCGTTTCGTTTTGGGAACGACGAAATGTATGTGAGTTGTTGATGCCGCCTGGACTTTTTGGTCACACGAGCGGTAACATTGACGGGCTCACACTGGATAGAGCTTCGACAGACAACACATGCATCCCCACCACAAAGCGCCGCGAATCTTCTGGCCGGCAGCCGGGATCGGACCAAGCACAGAGGATGTCGTCGCTGACGACACGGCGACGGCGCTTGGAACAGCAGTAACAGGAGCTTTGGAGTCGACTGAACCTGAGCCAGTAGCGGCAGACAAACGTTTTTTGGGACAGACAATTGTTGCAGTTGATTGTACGGTATTCGCAGCAACTGTAGTAGCAGCAGCTTCTACTACCAGCCACAACCACTCAAGCCAACTGCACACGCAGTAGCAGCAGCAACAATCGGTCAGTCAGCCAGCCAGCCAGCCAGTAAGTAATAAGTAGACTTATTCTTGTAGCGGCAGCAGCAGCATAACCGTACGGTCGTCGTCGGCACCAGAGGCACGGCTGGCGGCTCGTCAGATCGGCTCTCAAAATCTAGTAGTATTCAACTAGCGCTCGGCGGCGGCGGCGGCGGCTGCCAATGTGGTAGACAACGACCACTACACCAGACAAATGGCAACGAGCGATGAGAACCGACGACGGGCAATACAGACAGACAATGGTGGGTCGAGCGAAAAACACAGCAGACACTTACATACACAGGAACAACAATGACGATCGTGGATCGCCAGCCACGAAAACAGCAGAGGAGAGCCTACTTTCGAGCTGATCGTCAGCCCGCCGGTCTGGCACTACCACCGTCGCAACGCAAGTAGCAGACGCTCTCACACAAAATGGACCCGCTGCTAGTCGTTCGAAAAACGCAGCTGAAGCGCTAACAGAGCCAAGGCTGACACCGCCGCACGGGATCACTCACTAGCCACCACTCACGATCTTATAAAAGAAGCTCAATCTGGCCTGTACACTATGGCGCTAGCGATGGGCGAAGTGGCGTTGATAGTAGCTTCGGCTTTATCGACCACGCTGACACAACGTGCTAGTCACTAATCGTATTTGTGTCGCCCTCCCAGCATACGACAATCGACCGTTTATTGTTTACGAAATTTCTATACAACGTATGAATCCATGCGGGTATTTTCAGTTTTTTGTTTTCGTCCACATCATGAAGATGCGCATAGTCTCATCTTGGTGCGAACTGCGGCGATCTTATCGAATTGAACCTTCTATGTGGAACGGAATTTAACTAGGCAGCTTCGAAACGGGTTTCGGTGGCGCGGGAAGTTTAAATAGCATAATTCGGTTGCGTTACGACGGTGAGTTTTTAGTCTCCTAAAAGTTAATTGGCTGAAAACTCAGACTAAAAAGAGTACAAAAATAATCTTTTCAGTCTTCTCTCGTTACGATAAATTACATTGTTGAAATAAAATTGAATCACGTCATCCTGAGATGATGAATAAGATCGTACGCCCAAACTTGAAAATGTAAACATCTTCCGCACTTGCGCAACAAAAATCATCTTTTGCAGAGGTTAAGGGAAAATTCAAAACAGACACTGACGTTTGCTGCTAAGGTGTTTATATGGTACTGTAGGACTCTCGCCCACTATACCGTAAACCACGTATGTTCGGGCTTGTATGAGCTCTAAATGTTTCGAGTTTTACATCCGACACCGTCGTTAAGCATTCTATTAGAATGATAGTTTCTAGCTCATAACGAAGTTTCTACGCCCGAATTCGAACTTATACCATCACGTGTCCCTAAGATTAACAGGCAGACACGGTACCCACTAAACCATCACAGGAAAATATATTAACTAACGCAGAGTATGTGTCCAATTAGTAGTGACACCGTAATGTGTACATTGAATCCCAAATTTCCTTTTACGGTCTGCTATAGTTTAGCGAACTTCAATAAGCATCAGTCTACAAAATTAATTTATTCATTAGCTCTCAAATGACAGAACCGAAGCCCTGAAAACTTCTTAGATGAAGATAGACTTCAAGATAAAGAGACCGAAGCCGATTTATTATTAATAAGAATGATTATAAAAATCCTTCAATTAAAAAATTCACTTTTATTTACTACATTTTATAGAATGCCAAAGGTACCTCGTTTACATTGCGAGCTGATAGTATCTAAAGGATTAGCACACTGCAGATAGAAAAGTAGCGCGATTTCGTTTCAACGAAAAACTAAACATCAAACAGCGACTTCTGATCTGGAACGCGGCAAAAGTACATAAGTGCGCTGCGGACAACGACTGCAGCGGAAGAGATCAGAATTTCTCTTTAAAGTAGTAATAATGATAATGTAGAATTATGCCATTTTGTATGTTAGCTTTTAAATATTCGTTTAAACAAAAGGTAACTAACGAATTCAAACCGAAAAATCTATTATTTGTCTAGGTTTTAGGTGTCGTTTTCATTATGTAGCTACGATTGTAAAGGATGACCAAAATGGTTTTTAATAAAAGTGTCTTGGCACTCCAATACTTATGCCCCAGATTTTACATGGAAGAAACATGTACATGTTGCTACTATCAATAATTTATACCCAAGGTGAACTGCTACACATTATAGGCTTAATAATTGAAGGTTATTCATTTTTAATAATGTGCCAAATACTGGATGGACAGCAGTTTTCAACTTAAAGACAAAACATGTTTAAAGTATGATAATTTATTAAAATAACTTGCGTCAAATTGTACTACATATGCACGTTACTATATATACACGGCGCTGTTCGCAGAGGGTTCTTGGTAGGGCCGCAGTGTCCCCAGCTTTATCAATGCGACTCGACCCGGATCCACCAATATAATTTTTTTAACAGTTTTAACAGTTAACAATCGATTTTTGGTCACTGACAACAGACTTATTATAATGCAATCCCATTTCACAGCACGTATACAACAGCACAGTATTGATTATGAAAAGTAAACGACCAGTGAATTAACTATTGTCATTATTATTATTATGAATGTTCTTAGGCTACTATAGGATCAATTAATGGACAGCGCTACAAACAAATAATATAGACCGAGCTGAAACACATTGATTGAATTTTACTAAACCGGTAAAGGGCAAACTTTTTGCATTATACTTAAAATCCTCACCAAAACAAGATACACACTATATGACGTAGTCTAGTTTAAATACTAGTATTTTTGGATTACCTGCTGCTAAATGCGGTCACTTTGCTAGTGTTTTCCTGTGCATACGGCCATAGCTCATGGGTGTGCAAAGTTTTTTTTTTTCATTTAGATCTTTACCCAGCATTCATAAATGCACAACTACAAGGAACCACTGTTATATACTGATTTCCATCGAATGTCTGTCTCGTAAAGATCTTACCGAAAACTGATTTCAAGCCCTTCTGGCGTTTCGAATTTCGTTCGCCAGAACCTTATCACAAATCGAACATAGTGTATTTGGTGTTTCGCTAACCATCCGTCGGCAACGAGGACAGGCCTGGTCGTTGCAATCGGTTACCTTAATGAACACAGTAGGAGTGACTTCTAAACAGGTTTCATCTGGATTGGCTACCACCAGGATCGTTTTAGAGCACTGAAGAAAATCAGTTAAACATGAATTTTTTGACAATGACTCTCTTTGAAACTCTGCGAACATTTCAAGCAGGCTATGATTTTTGAGATAGAATGTCACCGTTTGCACTTTCGGTTTCTGCCCGGCTTGTTTGTTAAAGACCTGACGGCACTTACTCAGTAATTCGCCTGCCTCGGCCAAACTTGGATTATGCCACTGCTTTTCACAGCAGTGAAGCGAATCTTTATACAGCTTCATGTTGATGTGCAAAAGCACGTCGGACGTCAAATGGGGCAGTATGGCTGATGTATGACGAACCATAAAGTGCAAAAGGTGTTTTAAGGTAGTACAGGCTGATTTTCTTGCGAGTGACTGCGCCGCATGACAGTACAAACGGGTCTTGATTGCTTGAAAATACTCAGCTGAAACGGTGTTCGTTACGAAGTTCACTAATTCTTGACACACAGCATCATAGCGCATTGCCTCGTACATTTTATTCAAATCGTTGTCCACTTCATGGATCCTATGCAACATCAACCTGTCTAGGCCAAGTAGTTGATCGTAGTCGAGGTTGTCAGCGCAATCAGTACTTTCCACATTTCCGAGTATGAATTTGAATGTATTTCGAAGTTTTCCCACAGTAATAGCACAGTCATCGAGTACGCACTTCGCAGTAAAAATGTTATCAGGCGTGCAAGCGTGTGCTGCCACCCACCATCGTAATACGTCAACACCGTATGTATTTACAATGTCGTTCGGACTTATGACATTGCCCAGTGACTTCGACATTTTACGGCCCTTTGAATCGAGCGTAAAACCGTGCAAAAATATGGTCTTGTAGGGAGCCTGGCCTGTCAGAGCAACACTGGTCAGCAGAGATGACTGGAACCACCCCCGGATTTGATCCCCACCCTCCAAGTATAGATCGGCTTGTCGCCCTTGAAGTACCGTCCGCCAAGATAGGCCACTGTCCATCCAGATATCCATTATATCTTTGCCAAGACTTCCTTCAATTTCCAGCATATTCTGCGCTTCAGGAGACCACCAGAAATCTATTCCTTTCTCATGAACTAGTTTACAAATTTTTTCTATAAAGTTACGACTAGTTTTTGGCTTTTCGCCTACGTAGAACACAGGGATAGGAACACCCCAAGATCTCTGTCGTGATATGCACCAATGAGGTCGTTTTAGAAGCTGATTGATAAACATAGTCCTCGCGGAATTCGGAATTACACTTACTTCCTTTTGGAGTGCATCAATTGCCTTATATCTTAGGGAGCTAAGATCAATAAACCACTGTAGTGAGCTTCTTATAATGACTGGTCTTTTGCTTCGCCAATCGTAGGGATAGCTGTGAACATAATTGTCGATGTCAAACAACATGTCCAGCGACTCAAGTCGTTTAATGATTTGATCGTTGCCTTTACCCAAAACACTTAATCCCTCAAGTAAACTAAAATGGTGATTATAGTTCCCTTTCTCGTCTACGATACATGGATCCAATCGTAGATTATTTCCAATAGCATTTGCATAATCCTCGAGGCCGTGGTTAGGAGCTGAATGCAAAAGACCAGTTCCCTTGTCAGCCGTTACATGATCTCCAAAGAGGAAGACGCCGGCTTTATTTGTTAGAGGATTTCTGTACCCGAGCTTTGCAATACATCTCATATCAACTTCTGCCACAGTTTCCAATTCGCATTTTAAGGCTGCTTGCAGCGTGTCCAGCATATTTCCGGACACAATCATGCCTTCGTTGCTGTTGCGGGTCTTCACGATAACATAGCGAAGTTTAGGTGAAAAACATATTGCTTGATTTGCAGGTAGAGTCCATGGTGTAGTCGTCCAGATAAGTGCACTAAGTGACTCCAACCCCGTAGGAAGGTCAAAGCCTTTGATAGGAAACTTCACGAATACTGCAATACTCGTATGGTTGTTTTTATATTCGAGCTCGGCCTCGGCAAGAGCAGTCTGATTAGAGGGCGACCAGTATACGGGTTTCAGATCCTGAAACACAAAACCCTTCTCATATAAATCATTAAAACCCCGCAATTGCTCCGCAATATAGCATGGATCAAGTGTCTTGTAAATATTGTTGTCCCAGTCAGCCATCACTCCCCATGACTTGAAGGAGGCCATTTGCTCTTCAACTGTTTGAAGGGCAAACTCTCGAGCGATTTGTCGAATCTCTTGTGGTTCCATTTCCTCACCTGGAAATAATTAATGAAAATGTTGTAAGTTATTTGTCTATAATATCTAAAATGATTGGGTTTATTTTCAGTCGGTGTCCTGAGTTAATTGTTCTATCAGCCTTTAATTTAAAACTACACGAGGGAAAATGCTACAGACTGCTTCCTTTAGTTTGATGAATCTTTTTATAAGTACTGTCGTAGGTGCATTGTAAATTCATTGTTTGGAAAATAAATACACAACTTTCTAGTTTGTTGCCAGTTCATTTTGTATAATTTCCTTAAAATCTCAACAACGAAAAGGAGATAATGCGAAACGAAAGAGATTTCCGCACAGGTCTTACGTTTTAGGCTTGCTTTCAGAAGACGACATATGCAACTTGTTCCCAACTCGAACTTCAGTTGAAAACAACGAAGCGCAAGCAACGCGAGTTGTATTTATAAAACGGTCAAAATGGTGATCCAAAATTGTATTTTTTGTTTGAAATGAGATGTTTTTAAACTAATGGACAACATAATGCCACCGTCGGTAAATTCGTTAAATAAAAATAATATAAAGCCGTCTCGGGCAGATACAAGCTCTATTACATCCTAAATACTCTGTTTTAAATAGTGCTTCATGTATTAATTACATATACTATAATGTTGGTCAATAAGTAAGATTTTTAGCATTAAATTACTGTGCCAATTAAAACGCGCTTGGTGCTGTTTCTCAGGAATATAGATCTGCATTTAGAATGTATTCTAGAGATAAAGCCTTCACTATGCAAACCAAACAAAAATCCGCAATGTGCTCAGAACCGTCGGTAATTTTGATCGAGAAACGGATAGTAGTGATGGATACATGGTCTAATCAGACGGGGGAAAAGTTTAAAACTTCTGGTGGTTCGAAACTATTACCGTAATAAAATGCGACGTACCTTTTTTTACAGGAACAGCTTTTGCTTCTATTGGCAGTCCATGACAGTCCCAACCTGGTACATAATCTACCCTGTAGCCAGCGATTGCTTTTTGGCGACAAGTAATATCCTTAAGAATCTTGTTTACCGCGTGGCCCAGATGAACCTGCAATGGTAGAAATATTAACGCAACTTTCAAACGAAAACTTGAATTGAGCTGATGATTTGAGTTTAATAGATGTGCATCACAGATTGGTTTTCGGTATAGATTTTATATTTATACTAAAGATACATATTCAATATCCTTAAATAAGGATACTGTGTAAAAAAATATTGGACAGTGCTCGTCATCATAGTTGAATACTTCAACATGACATTTTTAGCCAGATGCTTTATACATTTGCTAATTCACTGAGCAACGTCAGGGTAGTAAGTAGCATACTGCTACAATCTCACAGGTGTCGTTAAATAAAAAAAAAATAGTTTTGACAAGCACGAGAGATATAACTTAGGTTATATGATAGGTTACAGAGATGTTAGACAGGGTTCAGGCAGTGTTGCATTCTGTAATTTTGAAGTCATCGCCCGACTGATGAAAATGCTCAATTTGTAAATAAAACAGTTGGAAAAAAATAATGACAATAAAAGGTCAATTGTAATACTAATTTCTGGTATTCCTATCCAGAAACTGCCTTTTTTTCAACGACTCCGTCTTTATCTCTTAGCTTTCTCTTTACCTGTCCATTGGCGTAAGGTGGTCCATCATGCAAAAGGAACTGCGGTCCGTCATGTTCTCTCTGCCACAGATACTGTGAAGAACAGATACCTGCTTTTTTAGCTATCTCTGCATCATACTGAGTCTTCTTCTCTAGCTCGATTCGCTGCGGAAATGTGGTCTTTGGTAGAAGCAAAGAAGTCGTATATCCGCTCTTACACCTCTTTATTACATGAACCTTCCAAAGCTGCCTCATGGCGCGCGATGTCTCTTTATGTATTAAATCCTATTCTGCTTCTTTCTTGATCTAGCAGTCTTTCGATATTTTAACTATAGGCTTCGTTACAAACGCTACGAGATTTTTAAACTGATCAATAATGCTGCACCGTCCACTTATGTGCTCTGGAGCGCTCTCGTAAGTTGAAATATACAGCTTCAAATATATGCAAAGAAGGTGATCTTTCTATATAAACGGCGTTTTTTATATCTTTTATATTACACCATTCAGTAACATTACACTGCTGTACTAACAGTATTAAACCTTTTCGCTTTCAGTCTCCTTTTTGGCGTGGTGCATCGCGGGTAGATTCGCGCAGTTTGTTTACGAAAATAAAACATCACAGACGACCATCATCGTACCAACTAGATCATCGTCATGTTCGTTCTTTTCCTCCTCGTAGTCAACCGGCAAAGGACGCTGCCATTATTTGAACTGAACAAGATGTCGGTAGCCGTAGCTTCGCTATAGGTTATGGTAATCGCTTAGCCGTCGCTGGGTCGTGTTACTGCTCTTGCTACTCGGCGGAACGGTGATCCTCCGAAATGGAAACCGTGCGGAACAGATTTCATCCGGAAGAGTCTGCAAATAGGCACTGGTAAACTGGATAGAAGAGCGCACGAAGTAGTTGGCAACGTTTTGCGTTGATTGTGCTACTGGTGTCGATACTGGTTGGGGGGTTTTGACAAGCCATTTATTATCGCTAGTTTCCTTCGTGTAGCTGTGTTGAGGGGTTCACCTGTGCCGCTGGTTAGTGTATTGGGTTCTTTGTTCAGTGTTTGTGTGTGTGTGTGTGCGTGTATGAATGCTCATTTAGGACAAATTTTTCTTGTGGCCAGATAGCCATCTTCTGTTGCAATTTGTAGTACAGTAAAAGCTGAAACCTGGTCGGATGTTTTCACAGATGACAACCAGCGAATTTGTATAGAAGTGAGTGAAAATCCGCGCTCTCGATAAAAACGAGCAACCCTATCCTTTACAAATCAGCCAATCTAACAACAGACTGGGAATGAGCGTAAGTTAGGTAATCGATTCTTCACTTTATGTACGGATTTTTGATGTTCATATCGTATATCTGTTAGATAAATAAGTGCATATGATGTATTTGATCTGAATTTACCAGGAAAGAATCGCATTGGCAGAAACGCGCTCGGCTAAATCAGAGTGGGATTGGTTTATGCAATGCAGTGCAGTGCAGGCAGGCGTTCAGGTGTCTTAAACTTTCGATAGTACAGCTTGGCTGTTGGGTTAGACAAAAAAAAACTCTGGGTTATTTGAATAATTTTAAAATTTTCGAGGACTTTAGATGGCTTAGAAGTCAAGTGTTAAAATCGTATTGAAAAGTGTTTCTTCTCAGGCAACGTTTGTCCATTAAATTAAAAACTACGAAGCTGGTTTTGTATTATAAAAAGCTATGAATTTCCTTTGAGAGTCCACTTAGATGAATTGGACGAAACATTCACACCGTATATACCATGGTAGTGTCATAAGGGCGCGGCATAGTGCATTATAGTTCCATATTGCGGACAGTGTTCGCTAAGACCGTAGTATATTGAAGATTGAAACACCGCTATATATGTGAACTTATGGAATAATAATTCGTAGAAAATACGAAGCCTTGTTTTGCCTTATAGGGCAATAACATACTATATTGCATACGGTGAAAAATGAGGAAGTCGCTCCTTTATGGTACTTATTAAACAGGCAAACCTCTATTGAATCATAATAATTAAAAGCATCATCAGTGCTGCCTTTATTAAAATATTATCCTGCATGGTCCATTAAACTTAAGTGCTGTGCCCTTAGGTGTCGTTGTAAGACAAAGTTTAGTGGTAGTCATACTACTAAGTGATATCGGAGTCGCAGCGTATGGGATCAACATAACTCGAGAAGCATCGATGAGGCAGCATAGATCTTCTTTATTTAAATCTATATTTTCTGTAGTTCTACTTTAATGCTGATTGTCGTCAGCCGTCAGGTGTAGATATGGGTAGTGGTTCCTTGAGCGAGGGCTCTGTACGTTCTGTTAGCCCTTATCAGTCTCACATGACCGCGTTGCTGTTCGATATCTCATCCCGTTGCTACCGTCCGGAACAAGCAAACAAACAAACCATTGCTCGAGTTGCAGTGGCAGGTGACTAGATCTGGGTCCGAGACGGTGACAGAACTGATTGGGGAAACGTCAATGTACGCTTGTTAACAGATTTAACGAGTATCCTACATCTACCTGCCAAGTAGTGATCTTAGAGGAAGATTGTTACACATACTCTTTTGATAGATGATCATAATGGTGATCCTGTACTGTTCGTATCTTTATGGAGTGAACATTTCGGAGCGTAAACGCTCAATCGCGTCGTGGCAGATCAGAGCAGGTTTTTTTCGAAATAATTTCTTTTCTGGTGGCTTGCTTACCGGTATCGATGGCATCGCCGCAAATTAGTTTTACCCGTATAACGGAAGTCGTAGACAAATCATCAGCTTCTTGGTTGGTCCCTCTACTATGTTTTGATCATCGACGACGGTGACCAAGGACACAAACATGTCAACATTTGCCCTTGTTGATTATTATCAAGGTTAATAATTTAGCTTCGATCTCACTGACGAACCCTTGCCGCAATCGCTGCTAATTAGTGAAATCGTTTGAGACATCTTACGGATGATACGGTGTTACGGTACAATAATATGGAAGTGACCATGCATTTCAAAGTATTCGACAAAACGATATTGGGCGTGCATAATGATATTCGTCATATTATCAGTGTGTATGTTTCGAATAGCAGCATTATACGTGTATATCTCTATATAAACGTCATTACATAGACGGGCTCGCTTTTATTCAATATAGCAATAGCATGAAGCGCTCCATTAGTCCCAGTACCATGACGTCCTCCACTGAATGGAAATTAGTTAAGAAATATTTTACCCCAAGTGTCTCCAATTAATCAAACAGATTGCAAACAAATTAATCATGTAAAGATACATATGTGCCGGCGCCACACTCTCAATTGCCTCCCATCAACTAATATCAATAATAATAACTGGCCACCATGCTCTAAACGTCACTAAAGGAAAGAACGTATAGCTAAGAAGATGGATAAGATAACTGTCCGTGACGCTGAGCAAAGCGTGCGAGATAAGCGTCATAAAATATTGAAACTCGGCTAAATTCTTCAGGTCTCTAAAAATATTATTAAGCCATAAATATGGTACAGACATTTAGTTGTAGCGCTTTCTTGTTATAGCAATCTGAAAGATATCCGAACTGGTGCATGTATTGTTTAAACAGGAAAATTGTAATGGTTGGCAAAGACTTCTAGTCGGACCAGAGCTAGAACCGCGATGTTTGTTAACAAGTGGCAACAAGTGAATATCTTATCCAATTTTTCAATATTACGGTATACATGGAGGACAAAACCTGTTACACAATGTTTTGGTTCTTTGCGGTCGTTCATGCCGAAGAGATCGCTGTTATGGCTCGAAGTAGCCTAAAATCGAAGCTGTCAGTTAATATAGCATTACCGTTTCGTCTTTTGTTGCTAAATATTCGCTTATGTTAGTTTTCATGTTAACGTTGAGTTAACGGAGTTGGAAATAATTACTTTCATATTCTACTTCTAACCGTATGCGTGGGCTAGTGAGAGTACAATTTCTTGTGAAGAAGAGCTTTCGGTGGACGCAAGGAACTCGTTCTAAACTTGGAAATCAGAAAGTAAGCTGGATCATAGCATTCTGTAAATTTAATGCATTTCTTATTCGGAAACACGCGCTCTTTTCTCTTAACATGAACTTCTAATTTAGCTAAACAAACCCTATTCTTGGTTGCTGGTTTGTTGGACGTAAAAAAATTAGTTACTTTTTATTTATTTGAAGGACTTATGTTCACTCAAATTCTAAGGCTAAGCTTACTTTTGACTAATGGAAGTTATGGAGCGAAAGAGACGTGTTACGTATTTAAAGTTACCTATCGACAAAATATGAATTGATTTGCCAAATATGGCCTCGCATGGGCCTGGCTATAATAGAGCCTTACCATACTTTACAAACCTGAGGCACTATTATCGCCATATGGATGACAGGCGAGTTCATCTTTGAGTTAGACATTTCTATTGCAAGCTCACGTTGTAGGATTATCAGCTTTTCATCTTTAGCATCATAGACGCTTTCATGGCAACTACAGCTAATTATTAACAATAAATAACTGCTATTTCACAGAAGAAATCAAGACATTTATATTGGTAGGTGGTGGAATCTAACGGGAAAATTTAGCAAGCATTTGTCAACTTTCTGCTGTATGTGTACAAACATTTCACCAATGGCTTGTGGACCATAGTTTTTTAGACAGATGGTACTACACGTTTTGCTATCGTAAAGCTGTCCTCACTCCTTGATTAGTGGAGCTGCCTCATATACAGGGACTTTACGCTTGGTTGCAATTGGTAACCGTAAATATGTAAAGCACCCTGAAGTTTCGAAGCTTTTATTGTCCAGTGGTTAGTAATTATACGCAAGAGATGCCATTTTTTGTCTGTGACGGTCAACAGCGCCATGGTGCAGTGCATTGCCTTCTTGCGCGTTGGTTGGAGATGGTCTTGAGTTTAGAAATCTATGAGATAAATAAAAGCCTGTCTGAGAAGCCGAAATATGAAGCTTCCTTGAACTTTCTCACATGTCACACGTTCATCTAACAAATGAACTGTCACATGTGTTGCAGTTAATCAAGTTATGCAACGTTGGAAAAATAATTTTTAAATACAGAAGGGAATAAACATCATCTAAAATACTAAAAACATGTAGTCAACAACGTTGTGTCAAATAATTATCTCGACGGTTTTAGTAGCGGCAGTGTAAGACTTAAAGCATAAAGGAAGTAGGCAATTTCCACCTCCCTAACATAGTTTTGCTATTATTTTATACGTAAAAGCTACATTAAATAGAATAGAAGCGATGGTACACCTGATCTGACATGAGAAGTCGATTCAACAACGTTTCTGCTAATGTCATTTTTTAATTATAATTTAACTACAAAGACGACAAACATAGATCCATTTTCTATGGGTGAAAGCCGTTCTAGGTTACCAGTTCTTTGATTCTTTGAAAAAAAGACGTGAATAAATGCACATCCAGTGCGGATAGTTGGTGCATGAGCTTTTCTTTTAAAACTTCTTTTTTTGAATATTGCATGTTTGTACTAGCGTGTGGCAACGCCGTGCTGTTTAAATATAATATATATGTAGTCTATCATAAGAAATTTCGAAGGCAAATATAGATGCGAAATTACGTATAAGTTATTTAAACGAAGCAGCAAAATGCAAGCATCATATGAAGTTCTTCGTATCTGATCCGCACCTTTGATGAAACTACCCAACGTTATTTTAAAAATACTATATTGGACCCGAAAAGAACGTTAATGGCAATATAGACTGATACCCTGAATATTTCCTTAAACGAGAATTTTGCTCACTCGTATTGACTTTAAACGAAAGATAGCAGGAACTCTTTGTTGAAGTACCTTTCATTTTTTTGCAATAGATTTTATCAAATGTTCTTTCATGTAACGAAAAGTTAATGCTAGACATACGAGAGAATGAGAGGCAACGTTAGCAAACTAAAGAGCACTTGCTCTAGGACGCAGACAAGTGTTATTTGGTAAAATGCCATTGTTGTCCTAACGTAATAGGTCGCTGCCTGATGGTGTCTGAGGGGTTCGCTAGTAATGCAACGGTGCAGCTGCATGATAGATATTCGGCAAAATAATCAAAGCTTGTTATATATATAAAAAAAAAATCTAAGATTGTTATATATTTAAAGAATGCTATCTGTATAGATACCCAAGGCGCTATCCCAAATTATTCAAGAAACAGGTGAACATTTTTGGCTCAGCGAGTTGCCAGTTTTTTCACAGAGTAATGGGACTTTAATATCATTTTATCTTATATCATTTTATAATCAAACCCAGCTGTTATTAGATATGAATTTGTTGCAGTAGTTCCTATAGGCAGTGTGGTTTCTCACCGATAATAATAAACACACAAAAAACCGATATGAATACGAGATGGAGTTACAGTCGGAATAATAGTGTATGGCCTTGATCATTCAGGTAAACGGGTGATTCTGTCGAGCGTCAAACTTCATCCATATAAATAGCAATGTCGGAGCGGGCTTTATCAAGAACTGAGGTGAGTGCTGTAGGCAACGTTGAGCCACGTTAGATTTAGCCACTGCGCAGATCCTAAAGGTTGTTATTTGTCGGTATGAGCAATTTTTCGACCTAAAACAATAATAGCAAATATAAGCCGCATTAACGTGTTACTTATTAATTAGAAAATAATAGGATTGAATGCACCTTATACCCAGCAGGCTCTCAAGGGCCGAGCAATCCTGAAGAAGTATGTGATGATGAGTTTACGGTTTCTGAAGAAAACCAGAGCAGATTTTCAAAAAATTCTAAAATTTATTATAATTGTGATGACTATGTGCTCTAGTAGGAGCGCATAAACTTAAACGGTTACTAATCATGCTATTTACTTGAACTCGTAATAGTTTAAAAAACATTATGTAAAAGGTCCCGTTTATACTGTGCAGCTGTGTGTAGTTTTTTTTAAATATCAAATGGTAGAACTGCAAGTTCTTCGCCGTTTAGCTAAACCTCTAGATGTCCTAACGCGCAAAACACTGATAGAAATTGTTGATATCATTAGCACGCATCATTTTATGATGCAGAGATTCTTCATGCACATTTTCAGAGAATTGATATACAGCAGGGCTATCATAGAACAACATGAAAGTCGAGAATGATATTCTCTGTGTTTGCCAGCTACGAAAGTGACTGTTGACGGCAAGATGCGTAGACTTGTCATGTCTTTGTTTGAGACAGAGTAAAGGGCGAATAGCAGGTATATCATATCCTAGCAGCAAACGCCTCGCTAGAAAGCTGCAAAGAAATAGCACGTATAAGGTGGTGTGGTCTTCTTTAGCTTGTGCGATCGAATACGTTGCACCTAATTTTGGAAGGATTATTCTACACCACCTACGCCCGAGTTAAATAAATAAGTTTATCCTCATCGTTGAGCAGGTTGTCGCCTACATAGTTTCACTAAAACCAAAGCGTATGAAAGAAATCCGATAGACATTGACGATACTTTGAATCCTCATTTTTGTTTAAAAGTTCAGTGCTTTAGACATTGCTTAAAAGCTTTTGGAGCAATCCGAAAAAGATACTGCTATTCAAAAATATTATTGGCTTTAGAGATTTTTTTTTTTTTTATTTTATTGATTTCACGATTGCTTCGTTTAATTGATGTCTTCATTTTAGCTTGTGTCGCCTCAACCGTTTTGTTGTTACTTATTCTTATCTATTTATTATTCCGCAACTCATTTTCAAGAGATTATTACTCCATTGTCCCACATAGTTATTTCAGAATCGCACATTATTTTTCCCTCTCCAAAATCATTCACTCATCTTCTTGCACGCTAGAAGCTATAATATGTAATCATAACGTGCGTAAACTATTCTACCGTATTATTAGACGATACGTTTACTAGCAAAATTATAATTTATAAAACATTCGCAGATTTCGCATATGGGGCTCTAGGAAACTTTTTCATTATTTTATACTACAGTCTCATTTCGAAAGTGTGAAAAATGCATTTTCCGTCAATGGAGCAGCTACCGAATCAATAACGCAGTACTACTATTCGCTTGTTAAAGCGCGTACCTTTAAAAAATTGTCAACTCAAGATAATTTTTTCGGCTGGTTTACTCAGTTTTACGCGATTTTGTGTTCTGTTTCACCTCTAGCCTAACGTTAGGTAACCCGGTAGGTTTTTATATTGGGTGGTCGAAAAAGCCTCGACGATTATTCGCTTACGTGGGTTTCAAATCATATATCTCAGGCAATATGGATCGCCATTTCAAAGCTGAGATTCGACAGTAGTGGATGCGCAAAGATTGTTGGAACACGTTATTCAGACTTAAGATGGATTGCCTTAAGGAATGAATGAAATGTCTAGAAAAATTCGCTATTTTTACAGTTTTACTATGTCTATAAAGGCACAAATGCTACCCAGGCTCATAAATATGAGCTGTTTATGATCACAATAAGGTAGCGAAAAAAAAAAAAAACGACCTAAAAATGATCTTGTCGTGATGTCGGTAATTTCGGTGCGAAAAATGCTTCGTATAGTTGTCAGGTAATTATGAAAAAGTCATGATGAAATGATTGTCAAAGTTAAGCAAGACTGACGCCCGAGTTACATCGGCAATAATTTAAACGTCTACCATTAAACAGTTTCAAACCTTTCAAAGGAAACCGACTATAAGCAGAAACTCCATATATAGATGTCACATGAATTAACACAGTAGATTTCGTCGATCGAATTTCCATCCGAAAAACTCCATGGAAACGCAACGAAATCCAAGCTATTTCCAAAAGTATTAAAATAAGGAAAAGTTGCATAAAATATAACAACGCCTGAACAAACGCCAAATAAGGTTTGTCGGGATCGAAAAAAGCGTTTGGTGGGATCGGCAGAGAATTGCGCGTTGTGAACTAGTGGAGTTGGCAGAATTTCTAATTCGGATCTCTACTGCCAATAACTAACAAGAACAAGGAAAAATACATTGCAAGTAAGGAACAGAAAGCGCTTCATCTTCGACGATGGAAATGCCAGGCTACGTGCATCTTTAGCAACCTGTTAAAAATTAAAAGAACTTCAATAGGAAATTTTGACACGTTCGGGACATAACCCGGATCTTGCACCATCTTAGAATTATCCAATAGACTTTCTTTAACAGGTTTTTTTTTAATAACGTTGAGTAATTCCAACGCAGGAATGCGCACATAACTTATCATAATTTTTCGACTGAAGCTTGATAGTGATACTGTTATGCCATTACCTGAAGAATGGTAGAAAATTATTTATTAAAATGGCGCTCATTTAGTAATATTGTTTTAAAAATATGAAGGAAGTTTACTTCAATTTTTGCTGAAAAACCGTCAATATTTTTCGACGGAAAATGAGCATGAAATGAGCAATGAAAATATTGAATCGCTTGAACAGATTGTTGGGTGTGCCGTCGTCAAACTTATTCCCGTAAAATTCTTTTCAACGATGCCAAAGTTGGGAGGATCCTACGGCTAAATAAAATGCTGCATTATAGATGAACGTGGTCGATATATGTAATTTATATTCAGTGGTACTAACGTGCAACGCTCTATGCGTTCCTATAATTTATATTATCCAAATAAAGAGCATTGCTCAAAACGGCCAATAAAGTTTTCGAACTGCGAAACTGGGAGTCGGAAAAATGAATTGATTTTACGAATAAACTTTTGCTGCGCGGAACGTGGCACATTTGCCATTTGTACCGAGCAAATTCGCGTTTGTATTTCTAAGTATCTGTATATTCTAGTAGCACACCTGCTGCTTACTCAACCCCAGCCTGCTCTTATACAATGCTCTATGAACGACACATCATTAAGGCAAGGGTGTCTAGGAGGTTTAACCAACCAAGTGGTATGATTTTTTCTTCGGCTAACTGGTCAACACTGTCAAAGGGGCATTTACACAGCTTTAACTTTGGAAGAAGGTCACACATGTTGAACTTTTGTTGGCCTTGATCAAAAGCTATGGCAAAGAACCGCCATGGTCTGTAGGGTGATTAGAGGATCGCTTTCTTTTGGTTTATGTATTCACGTTTAAGTTGTAGGCCTACAAAAATATATATAAAAGTCATCGCATCGATCGATCGCAGTCGAAAGTCACTGCGGAGCGGCTTGTTCGTATATCGCTCAGGGCCGTTCAGTATAGCCTTTTAGAAGCCTATAGTCGCTGACCCTCTTTTGGTGGCATTATTTCTGCTCCAGATACTTTCTTTAAATTGTCTTGGCTAATCTTGACATGTCATCGTTGCCTCTCGTCACCAATGTTCGGCGGTTGACGAATATAACAGATTAAAACGGTAGTCGAGCGCTTCTTTTGTATGTCCAGCGGCTGTTATCATAAGCAGTCAGCAAAGTTGGTGGTAGTCGGTATCGTGATGCCGGCGACATTGTTCAGTCAGAAGGTGCGGGTCCTTATTCTGGCGGGTTGCCGGGCAAATGCCGACTACGCAGCGAGGGTCGTATCGTGTCGTTGGAGCTGACTTGAAGGAAAGTCGGTTTCTAGTCAAAAAAGGTGCGACTGACTCTGTTGACATCGATTATGCTTCCGTGCTAAAAGAGGGACCGGCTACTGCTGCGTCGACGTTGTGATGCAAGGAACACCTTTTGCGCTGTACGATATAGTCAGCAGCGAACTGCCAAGAGTTATTGTGCGGGCGGCAATGCGTTATGAAGATGCTTGTATGGTCCACTGTAAAGGGCACATGGTGGAATAATTTCAAGTGCATGATAAGGGCAATGCATGGCTTAGAGTGCAGCAGTGTTTAATGCTCAGGGTGCAGATTTCGCGCTCGCTCGATATTTTTTTAGCTAAACTGGATTTGCCCGGTCGCAATTACAAATCATCGAACTGGGCCAGCCCTATAATGCTGACTCTTGGACTTCCGGCGAGCCCCACATTTCGAGTGTTTCTGAAGGCTGGAACAGTAACCAATTATCGAACTCGCATCGCAAAAACCGATCGTACTACTAGATTACTTACACAAAGCGTGTTTCGATGCGCTTGCCATTCGCAAACTGTCACTACAATGTTGCTGCATACACAAATCGGCCTTGATAACAAGCCAGATATTTTGGTCGCCGTCGCAGGTCTAGCTCCCGCTCGCCAGAGAAGCGTTATGTTTCGCTGTTTCACGAAGATCAACGGCAAAAACAAAACCCATTGGGTTACTATCATCGGGTCAGCACCGCAGAAAATACCTAGCCAGCTTTGCGTCTGTGCATTGTTGTTTGTCGATCCAGACCTTCCCGTTATCCTGCGACCAAACGGGTCCATTTCCATCATTCCTGTCGTTGCTGTCGGTTGTTTGTTGCGTGGATTCTCCACCCTGTTGCAATTGCTGCCGGTTCTGCTGACGTCTCTCTGCACCGGACTCATCTTAGCTGATGGTGGTAGCAATACTGATTGCGGGCCGACGCACTCGTGGTTACGATATCTGATTGCATCTATAGTCGCTAGATAAATACGTTCGAGGCATGTTGCCCAATATCTGGCTCTCGCTTTGTTCTTGAGTAATCCCCCTGCGTGCGCAGTTGGCTTGTTAGTGTGTCTCTGTGCCATGGAATAGTAACATTATTCGCACTCACTTTACTGTTGGTTGTAACCAAGAAAGTGCTTTCCTTTTATTGCCCCTAAGAAGGAGATTTTCCTCATCACACTACCTAAAAAGCTTTGTCACCGCCTGCAAATCATTCAGGTTATTACAACAACAACTGTTATAAGGACAAGCAATTCCCAATTACTCGGGCAGAACGCTGATAACTCCTAGGTTAATCAGATTTGTTCATTAGTTGTACTGAATTGGTGCCAACCAATGGTCGATATATCTGGCGGGCGACTACATGGGTATATAGATGCCTGTCCGTGTTCTACAGCAACGCAGTGTCGCGTGCACCGAAACATATGTAACGTGTTATCGTCAACAGTCATTCAAGAAAGCTAACGATCTTCAACGAGCAAATAAGGGGCTGCTGTTGCAGTTTACGGAAATGCCCGTTTTTGATGTCCTGGCGCCCGTTGTGCCCATCTGAAACGCAACTGACAAACCGAGCTGAAGGAGTCGCCCGAACGAAACCTTTCCCGAACTGCTCAGTAAGCCGAACTATTGATAATCGTTGGCTCGCCTATTTCTGTGGATCACCTAACTCATGTAATCTTGCATTACGTGTTTGTGTTTTTATAATTTGTCACTGCAACGATAGCCTATTTCTGATACGTTTGCCTTTTTACGGCTCCGATGCCCATTCTGTGCTCAATTGCAAGGCGCAATTCAATGCCCTGTGGTTCTCTTCTGAAGAGCTGCAGGATGATCGTTGATGTTACACTCTAGCTAAACGAAAAACGAAATCGTTATTTCACAATTTGAAGCATCGCTCTTTTGAAAAGTGATCGAAGTGGTCCGTTCGAAAATCCTCGCAGCAAATTACCGTAGTGCTAGAATATCTATGACGTCTCGAAACGCGTATTTTGAAGACTTTAATGTTGTTTCTCTCTGCTTAATAATGATCTACGATTATAATGAATGATACTGCCATGGTCGCACCCTATATGGGCTAAAGGTAAAACAAATGTTTAGGGTGATCTTAGTTGCTTCTAAATCAAAGTATGTATAAATTCAAGTGAGCTTAATTATGTGACAATGTTTTAAAGACAATTCGCATTCCGCTAGACAACAAAATGCAAACACATTGATACTGCGTAAAGAAGTCGCGTATCTGCACATGACCATATTGGTCTATTCATTTAAATGGCATATCCTAATTGAGTTAGTGCTTTCATAACAGCTACTAGTGTGGACTAAACGTTCTTTGTCTAAGGTTGCACTGCTGGTCCAACTATTGAATAATAACACTGCAGCAAATGGACCCATAGGGCGAAGTGTTGGAACCAATAGAGTTTTGTGTTTCGGGGGAGGGGGTGGAGGCGGCGTAATACAACAATGAGTATCGGCATGCGTGTGGGGGACTGTGTCTGGCTGTCTTTCAAAAGAATGAGGATGAACGCTGTCGCTGGAGGATCGACGCCGGCACCCGCACCCACGACCCAAGAAGGATCAACGAATGGAATTTGTGTTACTCTATCGGAGGTTAAAAGCCTGAAGGACACAACGGGGATGATTGCGTCGAGTGGATCACTAGTGAGCGGTGTTGACGCCGATGAATCGTCATCGCCATCTTTGCCGTCAGCGCATGGCGGCGTCTGCAGATCGTTTGAGGTAGAGCAAAGGATCCGTGGACATATACTTTGAGTGTTTGTCGCAGCGTTTGAATTGGCTTGCTAAGTCGCGTTGTTATTGCTATTGCTTGTGTACCTTGTCGCACGACTTACAATAGTTATGTGTTGTCAGGCAAAAGTAGGCTAAGTCGGGGACGGATCATTTCTGACAGAAGCTTACTTTTGTACGTTCTCTATTCACATTACAGGAACAGAATAGCATGATTTGGTGATGAAATATTCCATCGTTTTGTCCTAATGAAAACGCATATATACATTTGACCTTTATGCGTTGTGTGTAAATGAAAACCTCGAGCACATCTACATCGATACTTGATAAGCGAAAACGTAGATAGTGTTAGTCATGTGAGACTTTGCGTGCTATGTTCGGTATAGGTGGCATCATCTCGTATCGTATGAATTTCCCTTACTGGCATAGTGGGTTCTCTATACGTCTTGGTTTTCGGTAGGATTCATTCATGTAAACAGCGAGAGCCGTTCAAGCGGCACGAAGAAGCGTAAAACAATGCACATGTTGTCGCGTTTCGTAACGCCACTTTTCTCCGTAACAGGTGTGGCGGACACATTCTGCAGGCCGGCTGACAATAAACACGAAGAAGTAAAACAACACGATCGACTGCCATAGTTTTCATGTGCTAAAACTGCCACTGTACTTAGGGGCAATATTTTGTATATTGTATTTTGACAATGTATGATGGAGGTCGCGTTTAACTTAAGCATCGGTGACGTCATCGGTAGACGCAGCGATGGGATCAGCCGAAAGCACTGATAGATAATACCGGCCTTGGCTGTAGTGATTATTAATTGTTTCCTTGACAATTATCAAATAGAGCTTGTGTTGTTGACGAAAATGCTAAACTACAGATGGAGCTTAGAAATGACTGGTAGCGTTCCGAAAAAGCGATTCTATATAGCTGTGGACACAAATCGTTCTGTTCGTAAACTGATCAAGCGTGTTACGAGATTACGTAGCAAAAGGAACCGAATCCAGTGTATTAGCTGCTGGGTAAGTCCCTACAAGTTCCGATGACACAGTTCAAAATGAGAGAGGGGTAGAGAAGTTACTCT